CAATAGAATATTCAGTGATATCATTCAAAGATTGTCAGCATTGTCGAATACTATATGCATTGTAGTTCTCTTTATAAATAATAACAGTATCTTTCAGTGATATCATTCAAAGATTGTCATCATTGCCTAATACTATATACATTGTAGTTCTTTTTCTAAATAATAATAGAATATTCAGTGATATCATTCAAAGATTGTCAGCATTGTCGAATACTATATGCATTGTAGTTCTCTTTATAAATAATAACAGTATCTTTCAGTGATATCATTCAAAGATTGTCATCATTGCCTAATACTATATACATTGTAGTTCTTTTTCTAAATAACAATAGAATATTTCAGTGATATCATTCAAAGATTGTCATTATTGTCGAATACTATATGCATTGTAGTTCTCTTTATAAATAATAATAGTATCTTTCAGTGATATCATTCAAAGATTGTCATCATTGTCGAATACTATATGCATTGTAGTTCTCTTTCTAAATAATAATAGAATATTTCAGTGATATCATTCAAAGATTGTCATCATTGTCGAATACTATATGCATTGTAGTTCTCTTTCTAAATAATAATAGTATCTTTCAGTGATATCATTCAAAGATTGTCATCATTTCCTAATACTATATGCATTGTAGTCCTCTTTCTAAATAATAATAGAATTTTTCAGTGATATCATTCAAAGATTGTCGTCATTGCCTAATACTATATGCATTGTAGCCCTCTTTCTAAATAATAATAGAATATTTCAGTGATATCATTCAAAGATTGCCATCATTGCCTAATACTATATGCATTGTAGTTGTTTTTCTAAATAATAATAGAATCTTTCAGTGATATCATTCAAAGATTGTCATCATTTCCTAATACTATATTTATTGTAGTCCTTTTTCTAAATAATAATAGAATATTTCAGTGATATCATTCAAAGATTGTCATCATTTCCTAATACTATATGCATTGTAGTTCTCTTTCTAAATAATAATAGAATATTTCAGTGATATCATTCAAATATTGTGATCATTGTCTAATACTAAAATGCATTGTAGTTCTCTTCTGAAATAATAATAGAATATTTCAGAGATATCATTCAAAGATTGTATTTGAAAATGTTATTCAATTATTTTTAAGCAGATTTTAAAACCAGAT